GCTGACATGTGACTGTTGGTGACATTGTCCTTCTCTCCGAGCAAGTTCCCCAGCCTCCACCTCTTCTTACCAAAACCAGCAACAGTAGTATACACAATAATGGCTGTTATTATGACACTGCATACAACATGTGACACGTACTATTGGACGATGCAAGGCTTCCCTCCAGAAGGCCTGTTGGTTAATAGCTATTCCCCCAACCCGTTGCAACAATAACCTGGACCCTCTGCCAAACCTCCAGGGTAGTTTGTACTGTATAGACTACCCTTCTTAGTTTGTCCTTAGTTTACTCATACAACGTTTCTAGTTAAATTCCAATTACCCATTTTTGTTTGGGTGTGGCATTACCTTGAATTCATTTTCTTATTATTCACAAGAGTTTTGAAAGTTCCTTAATGATATTCATCAAATATTCACAATCATGATTCTTCTCTTTAACGTTGCCAAGGCTATGAAAGTTTCAACCTAGTATAGCTATAATTATAGCAAAATAGTACTCAAGTTACAAGAGAGGCATACAATGAACTACTGTCCATGTGGTGCCACACCTCTGTCTGTTCTGCAAAAGCAGGACTGTTCTAATGGTGATAGTACCCCTACTTGTGGTCGCAGGTGTGGTAAGAAGCTAATTTGTTCTACCTCAGGTGGGTCATTAATTTCATAGTTTTTGTTGTGCCATGACTATATTTTTGCATTGTTAGGAGAGCAGCACATTTGTCGTTCCCAATGCCATAATGGACCGTGTCCACCATGCACGAAATCACGTGTTGTGCAGTGCATTGAGTGCAAGGATAAAGTGCGTGTTGACTGTCAAGACCTAAAACAAACAGAGGAGTATATATGTGGAAAGTGCTTCAAACCCTGTAATAAAGTGAAGAATTGTGAACGTCATTGGTGTTACAAGCACAAGTATCAGGTATGTACGGACGGCTCTCGTGATTGGAATGTTGAATTCTTTGTTAATTGCAACTTCAGGGATTGGAATCATCACACTTGTGTGATAAGGTGTGCAATAGACGACTTGGATGTGGTAACCATGATTGTGACCAACCCTGCCACAGTGGTGACTGTAAAACGTGTCCTCACACAAGTAAGTAACACCTTGGTCTGGTAACGCTGACTCACAAGATATAACCCACACTTTCATTGTTAATTGTTATACCATGTCCCTATCCGTGTTAGCTACTGCTAGAAAATTAATCCTAAGGTATTCAGGAACTTGACTGTGGCTGTAGTGAGGAAGTGGTAGTACCATGTGGAGCCACATTACCAACATGCAACAAACCATGTGCACGAATGCATGCCTGTGATCATGAAGGTACAGATTTCCAGGAAAAGTAAAAGTAGTTGTTCAGCATTTTTCTTCTGCAACCCCTTTCTCAGTGACCCATATGTGTCATAATAAAGATACATGTCCTCCATGCACTACTCTAACAGAGAAAATGTGTGCGGGTTTTTTTTGACAAACCTTACTTTGTTCTTCTTTAGAAAATTACAATGCCATGTTATACAAAGGTAATGTCATGTGAGATCGTATGTGGAAAAATACTTCCATGTGGGCAGCACCAGTGTCAAAGAAAGTGTCATGATGGTTACTGCACTAAAAACTCGGAAAAGTGCAAGCAGCTTTGCGAAACCCTTCGCAACAATTGTGGACATATGTGTGGTTTAGTTTGTCATGCCCCAAAAGAGTGCCCAAAGACTAATTGCATGGTAAGTTCGTTAAACATGTTATTGCTTTCACAAAGACCTATACTACTGGTATTCAATAAATCGTATCCTTTTAGGAAAAGTTAATTGTAACATGTAAGTGTAGTAAGATAAAACAACAAAAGCCTTGCTTCTTGTTGGTAACGGGCTCAGAAACTGATCACAAGTTCCTGCAAAGGTAAACCAATGCTACCACTGATGTGTATCCTCCACCAACCTCCCAGTCCTCAAAAGATCTTACAATGTGACAGTGAATGCAGGAGGAATTCACAGACCAACTTGCCTCAGGACAGGTCTGAAAATTTGTTTGGTAGCTAAAGTCTGAAAGCTATTTTTCATGCATCTATTCTTTTTCCTCATGATGGAACAGAACAAATGATGTGGATTTCATAGATTTTGTAAAGTCAGAACTGCAACAGGCTAAGAAGGTAATAATAATGCAATCACATAGGGTTATGTCATTTGTAACCCAACGGATTGTATATTTCATGCATTTAGGGACTGGTTGAACCAAGGTACAAGTTTGCAGCTACATCAAAAGAAAACAGACACATCATTCATGCTCTGGCACCCTATTATGGTTGTACAACTGATAGCTATGGCACGGGCCCTCGACATTACACTGTGGTTAGCTATTTAGGTAAGTTACCCAAAAACCAACATAGACAATAAATGGCAGTTAGATAAATCCGATGCAGGTGAAACTTAAAGGAGAAGCACCGAAACAATGACAGAAGAGTTTATACTATTATTGCACAGTTATAGTTAGCTATACTCTTGAAGTAACATTTTATCTTCATGAATAATCGGGAAGCTTTTGTGGCCATGGGTACATAAAGCACTAAACCACAAACTACTTCCATATCTGCAATGAAGTGAAAATGTATTGCACACATAGTTTGGCATACTGATGAGGACATTAGGTGTTTGGTATATTTCCAAACCTGTCAATCGTGCTTGTGTTAGCTTGAACTCCCTGAAGGAGGTATGTCAGTGCTGGTCTTGTAAAAGTAAATTACCTCACTCAATCACTTACATCATCTTTAGTTTGGCAGAAACATGTCATGTAAACGACGAGGTCAAGGCAAAGCAAAGGCAAACAAATCAACTACACCCAGGAATACACTTTTTTCCCAAGGAGTTGCCCTTGGTGGGATTTGAACCAACGACACTCTGCAGTCTAGGTGAGCGCACAACCAACTGAGCTACCAGGACACCTCAGCTGGCACAATACTTTCAAGCCACTTCTTTCAAACCACAATATTTCCAACTCATCATAATGAAAGTATCCTGATCACCACTACAGAAGCAACCGTGCATGCACATGTTACTCCGCGTACTTCAGTGTGTGATTCGTTCTGACGGACACTTTTGGGATTTATTAGTTTTTCAGTCCACTTAGATGTGCGCATGCTCAGTGGGTGTGGCCTTAGTATCAGTGCAATCAATAGGTCCAATGTTTAACAGGTTTTTCTGGAAAGCACTGGACCATCAATCATCTCTGAAACTTCCAATCAACATGTTCACAGTTATAGTCTGGAGGATTTTCTGATTCCTGTGGCTGAGTGTAATTTGGGCATTCCACTGGTCAGACAGACCAGAGTTGGTTCTTCATAGACACATACATTGTTACAGTTTATTATAAATGCATGACAGATTACTCTCTTAGTGGATCGTTTGTAGACTTCATTTATCCTTCTCGGTATAAAAACAATGTCAACTTACTTTTTGGAATGTATTATGAATGCGTTAAGGGAGATATTTAGGTCTATAGTTTATCAGCACATAAATGAACTTTAGAAAGCATGCATTAGTAAACACAGTGCAGTTCTTTAATTCTTATGTTTTCTCCTGGTACTATATGTCCTCCACTAATGTTTGAGAACTTGCTATCTCCTCTCTCTCTTGCCTTGTACCATCGTATGACCAAGCCCAGTAGAGCAGATGACACCACTGCCAATACTAGTGTGCTCAGGTAGAACCAGATACCACATGTACTGGTGCCTATGTTATGCAAGACCTTTGGAATGCAAGCACTCCCATTTTGTATTGTTGCCCCAAAGCGTTCTTCGAATGCTGGTGCTGATTCAGAGTGTGCTGTAGAAGTTAGACCGGGCAAAGTAATTACACAAATGACCACCAGTACTCTCAAAAAAAGTTTTAATATCCTCCACTTTCTCTGTGGTAAAAGATCCACCATAATTATTTTGACTTGCCATAGTCCAGTCTTGTTTGCCGTTCATTTTCACAGTATGTGAAGGCACTTCTCTGAACTGGAGACTTGTGCTTTGCTGCGTATTTCAAGACTTACTCATTGGATTGACAGTCACCGGCCCTTTCACCAATTTGTGGTAGAAATGAAAGTCCAAAATGAGTCCCACAGAGAGGAGTAGGACTGGCTGCAGTGATAGTATCATGCTTTTTTTCTCTGTTGAAATTGTGTGCAACTGTAGACCACTGATCACATGAGGAGACATGCCTGAAGCTTCGGACCTGCTGTAGCTCTTTTCATCTACATTTTTTTATTTCACTTCCAAAGTAGATAAGTGTACAAAGTTATAGGAAAAACAGCACTTAATTACGGCCTATGCGAGATCTTGCTCAGCTACTTGGGCAGTACGGTGGGGTCCTGGGCGCCTCCATACACGGCGGCTTCGCCTTCGTCCAGATGGAACAAGAAAGGGACGCAAACCGTGCCATCGCGTGCGAGGACGGCCAGCAGTTCAAGAGAAGTAAAATTCGTGGTCTGATTCATGGTAGGGCTATTCCGCTAAAATATGCCCAAAGAAGCCACTGTATGAAGGATGAAATGTTAGAAACTGAACCACAATAATATATGGATCTGGTCTATTCCTAGTAGAACTGCAGCAGCAATAAATGCTCCCAGAAGAACATACTGTGGTAGCACAAGAATTAGCTGGGTATAATGTATTGTTGTATTTGTCAGTGGGAGGCTCTTTTCACATACAGAGACAATAGCGGATAAAGTAGAGAGCAGCTGCATTGCCCTCAGACAGTGGCTTACTACTTTGTACTTACCTATAGCCACATCTGATAAGAGACTCACTATTATATATACTGGAATCGAGATGCACAAAAGAGTAGAGATTCCACAACTTTAAAACCCTTTGGGCGCTATAGGTGTCTCCTTAAAGAAGCAGAAATTGATGTATAACATATTAGCGCCTAGTATTATAGCCATATATAAATTCTTATGCACTTATGGAGGCTCTGTGCATATATAATTATATGTAAATGGCCCCCAAAGGGTTTAATTAACCTTAACCACAGTTTCCTCAGGTTCAACAATCAAGTTCAAACGTGTCATTGTGAAACTCAGGGAGCACTGAATGATAAACTGCCAGCTCAGAATGAGTAAGAGAGTGTTTGAGCCAACGCAACGGAATTTCCATTTTCTATTATTAATATTCCCCGTGAAAAAATAGGCAGGCTACGCCAGACTAGCTATTTACCCCTGCCTTGAGATGGGGAAACCATAAGTAATTCATGTATTGATATGCATTAGACATTATTATCTTAACTAGCTGAGCCATGTAATAATATTCAATGAGTCACCACAAACGTGGACAAAAATAGCATCTACTGCAGTTTAGGTTATTACAAGTATAAACTCAAGTATTAAAGTTGACAGCTTTCTGCAAAGCTTTAGTTGTCATATTGAGAATCGTTGCTGTTGAAGATGACTGACTCGTCAATCTCTTCGTACAGCTGTTGATCGTTATTTTCAGTTGTCACGGCTGTTTCAGCAGGATCCATCTTCTCATAATCATCATCATTGACCTCTGCAGTAGCTTTATCACTTGTGTACTTTTCAAATGCTTTGTACACAGTATTTGGACTAGTGGTAATGTCTCCCGAACTAAGAGTGGTAGACTCTCGTTTAGACTTGTTCTTAGACTTCTTTATAAAGAAGACGACACCAAATGTAATAGTCACAAGTAGCACTGTATATGTAAACAAGGAAAGAAGACAAACCACTTAGTGCACTTTGGTAAAAGAATCTTAGCATGTTACATAATAAACTTAAGCTACTAGAGGAATGCAATGCAATGTTGGCGAGCGAGTGTGAGCAGTTCAATACTTCATGCGTGTTTTGCGCATATTTAGAATGACGTAGAACATTACGGTATATTCAGTGCCTGACAGAGCCGTCACATACAATAAACATATTATAGAAAACTCCCGCATTGAAACAACGAGGTAGGCTCGCTTTGCTCGCCAATTATCTCACCTAGAGCAATTATAGTAGCAGTGACTGTCAAACCAGCTGCCAGCGGGACAACAATTTCCTAGGACACCAAGTAGACCCACTTGTTAAGTTGTTGTAATTGTGGCAGATGATCAACTCACAAATGAGGCAGAGGACTCATCCTCACTGGACATGGGAGACGGAGATGGTTGCGACTGCAAATAACTAGATCGAAAAGTGGTGTGAGGAGGTGTGGATGATTATGCTGGACATTAATGGAGATGGTGACTGTGTAATAGGATGAAGGGAGGATGTTGGAGCAATTTCATTGCTAGAGGTGGGAGATGGAAGTAGATAGCCAATACATTAAGGAAATCACTTAAAGAACATGCATTGCTAATGATTAGGTAATGTTAAACAAAACTAACAACATTAACAACACTTTAAGTTCATAAGCGTTGAAGTGTGCAGTGTTAACAGACTTAAATGAGCATATGAGGTCACTATTATTATGTTGAGAGCGCCTTTTCCTATTCTATTTACTGGGTACTTCATGGAATATTCACCATAATTCAAGAGTTGATTCCCATCATTAACCATGCATTGAGGAAATGGTCTCAATAATCAATTGTGGTATGAGAAAGTTTAGTTCAGCAGTAGTGTTTAGTTTCCAATGAATGTGCACTCCTATTCTATTTACTGGATACTTCATGGGCTATTCACCATAATTCAAGGGTTGATTGCCGTCATTAACCACGCATTGAGGAAATGGTTAATCAATTGTGGTATGAGAATGTTTAGTTCAGCAGTAGTGTTAGTCCCCAATGAATGTGCACTCCTATTCTATTGACTGGGGACTTCATGGGCTATTCACCATAATTCAAGGGTTAATGCCCATCATTAACCAAGCATTGAGGAAATGTCTCAATAATTAATTGTGGTATGAGAAAGTTTAGTTCAGCAGTAGTGTTAGTCCCCAATGAATGTGCACTCTAGACTGGGTTGTTGCAATGAGCCAGCTGCCAGTATAGATAGGTAACAAGACTCCGGCTTTTACAAACCATTATTAGAGGAGCTAAATGCATTCTTAGGTGTTTAAAGGGGCTAATACAGCCATACACTGTATATTGATATGCCATGGGCGCGTTCACTACATTGGCACTCGTTATCGAGATGACTCACCATAACCTGTAGGAACAATTGCTACATGTCCACCACAGCCATTATAGAGCAAATTGTTTCGTGGTATTAGTATCTAGGCAGCAGTGTTTCATCATTGCACATATTATTTGTCCAGACCAATGTTGTAGCTAACCCATGAACAGAATTAACCCTTGCACTTTCAATAACAATACATACAACCTATTTAGGACATGTTTAAGGAATTTACATCAGATGGAAACAAGGGTAGCTACTACTGTAACGTTTGTTGTTTTGCTTAGTGCTTATTATTATGCATCTACCCTCAGAATTTGATATCCTATAATATTATGACGGCACAAGTGTGTTTATTACTGAAGTATGACAATTAGACCAATGACCATGGTTGAAGGTCAGGGTGGGCTGGACCACCACTATTCCTCTGAAACTTGTTCAAATGCTTGAAATGTGGAGCAGTTCTGTTGCACTATAATACTGTCTGCAGTGGCTGGTGCTGAGTTGACACGTCCCAGTGCCGTCCAATAGACGGTGTCCTCATAAAAGGTGACATCACTGTAGAAAGAGTTTGCATCTGTAGTGACAATGACAGACTCCTGGAGAGTGGTGAGGTCCAGGGAGATGACACTCTCGTCTGAACCACAGTCTTCAGTCCAGTAGAGATTAGATCTTAAACCCAGATACCGAGTGTAGAAGGAAGGGCTGAAGATAACCTCTGCACCCTCTCCCGAACCTCGGAGGCACCAGAAGATGCAACGCAGGGCGTGTATCGCCTAGCTATGTAGTTAGCCCGCGTCAGACTCTGCGCGAGCCTGCAAGAGACCACGAGTAACTAAACCCATTAGTGGTACGGCGCATGCGTTTACTTACGCGTGCGCGTCACAATGCGCCGTGGGTTTGCACTTCAGTGCTTTTCATTATGCTATGTTCAAAATTTCCTTTTGTAATCATTGACGTAATCACCCCTCGATCTGAGTTCGGCCATTTTGTCTCTTACCTGTATGTCTCACTGTCAAGCAAGATAAATTTGTTGCGAATTTCGGGGAACTTGCAGACGACAACCAGGTTCACTTTGTCTGCCAATTATTTGAGGTGGTTTATTCACATGATCGATGATCATCATGGTGAATCTCATTACTTGTTACCAAGGTTACATCAGTTGAGTTGGTGGCCTGGTAAAAAGCTGGGGAAGACATAACAATGAACAGCCAATGTGGTGCCACACCTTTATCTGCTCTTCCATGCCAGGATGAGCCATTTCCGGAGAATGATATTCCAACATGTGGTCGCCGGTGTGGTAAGAAACTACCTTGCTCTACTCAAACTTTGTTGGTGCAAAGCTGATATCCTACTCCCTCCGCGAGTCGGTTAGCTAAGCTTGCTTCTGTCATCCGATTCGTCCGTCTGTCCTTCCTCCACGGCAACAGAGTTGTGTCCCTAGCTAGCATTTCGCTAGGTCGCACTTCCGCCTCTGTCTTATATACCGTCAAACTCGCCGATATATAAGTAGGTAAGCTAGCGTTTATGACAACGCCTGACTCTCCCGAGAATTTCAGGTCTCCACAGTTGACATTTTAACGCGCCGAGGGGACGGCTGCACGCGACGCGCCAATGAGCGTCGGTGACGGAGACGGCACGGGTAAATGTGTGTACAAAAACGTCAAAACTCGGCGAAAATGACTCGCTGTGCCTTCAAAACACACTACCAGTGAGTAGTCTACAGGTCAATGAGATATATCTAGCTAAACACATGACTTTGCACTAGTAGGTGAATGCATGTCATTTTTGGCGAGCGGGAGCGAGCACAATCTGCACGAGCCATCCTAGCCGATTTAGAACTTGCACCTTGGAACCACGAAGATTGGAAAGAGATACAGCCTCGGTACCCAGACCCCCGGCCCAAAGGGGTCTGGTGACAGTTGAGCAAATTCTTGGTTGTGCTGATTCAGCAGTCTTAGCTTGGTGAATGTCATCTGTGCCCATTAGCTACTGCTTGTAGACTGTGCTTGACCTTCTGTGTTTCAGCTGGTGTCAAGATGAATGTAGTGCTTTCACTTGGTCACACAGTTACACTTATCTTCATGGTCAACCTCTCTTTATACCCATGCGTGACCATCATAGAAGATCATAGCCAGTCATTAGAAACAGATAAAGATATAGGGATGGTGTCATGTAGTTTTGTGTGCCTTTGCTGTGTAATGACCCCTTGTTTCTTCCTTTTTTGTGCTTCAAGCCCTCCCTGTGTCCCCCTTCATTTTGAAGCATTAAAGTGTAGTAGCTAGCTACTTACAATTGCACTGCCAACAGGTGAGCAGCACATTTGTCGTTCCCAATGCCATAACGGACCGTGTCCACCATGCACAAAATCCCACATTGTGCAATGCTATGAGTGCAAGGTTGAAGTACGTCTTGACTGCCAAGAGATTGACCTAACCAACCAGCATGTGTGTTCAAAGTGCTTTAAGCCTTGCAAGAAAATTATGAATTGTGGACGTCATCAGTGTGACAAACACAACTGTGCAGTAAGTTCTGCTGTGTGCATTGTTATTAGCTTGTTATTCTTCTAAGGAACAGGAAATGGCACATTTGTGCAATAAGAAGTGTATGAAACGTCTTCCTTGTGGTAACCAAGATTGTGACCAACCCTGCCACAGTGGAGACTGTAAAGAATATACTGAAACAAGTGAGTTTTTTTGTTATTTCAGCTATTGTTGGGAGGAAGAGATCGGGGCAATCTTATGGTTTTCTCACACCCTTCAGCTTTTTCTTTAGGACTCGGCAGAAAGACATCGAAACACACCATATAAGTGTGGGCGTCGTGGGTACAATAGTACTCTGTAGGAACAGCAAATATGACGTTAGATAATTTCATCAAATGCTGTGCTTTTATCAGGTATAAAAAAGCTTTCATGTGACTGTGGTGAGGAAGTGAGAGGACAGTGTGGAGCTATAACACCAGAATGCAAGAAACGATGTGCACGAGTACATGCAGGGGAATCGGATAGTTCAGGCAAGTGGCACGGCTCGTCTCTGCTGCTCCAAGTCTTGAGAAGAAAATGATTGCGTTTGTATGCGATTTAGCCGCTGCAGATTTCGTCGTCCGCTCTCATCCGCTCAACTACGCTTGCGCGCGTATTATACAAATTTTAAATTGGCGTGGTGAAAGCTGCGCGCCGCCTTTACGTGGCCCTAGCTATAACATAGCTCCGTAGAGACCTGGCTGGGTTCCTACAGTAGGCCAAGAAGTAAGTTGGTGGCGAGTCCAGGGAAAAGTGGTACGGCTATTGCCGTACTGGCCATAGCGGCTCCGACGCCCCTGAGTCATGCTTATGCCCACAAAGGTCCTGAGTAAGAAAAATGTAACACTTCACTTACTACACACACTTTCTCCTTCCTCAGTGACCCATACATGTCATAATAAAGAAACCTGTCCTCCATGTTATGCCATAGTACAGAGAACATGTGTTGGTGGACATAACGTAAGCCAAAAACCTTAACACTCTGATAATTGTGTACTTTACTGACGCTATTATAGACAAGAACTGCCTATTGTTATGAAGATAAAATCACATGCAATGTGATGTGTGAAAAACCCCTCCCATGTGGACATAAGTGTCAAGAAAAGTGTCACGATGGTATTTGCAAGGAGGAATGCAAACAACCCTGTCTAATTAAATGCAAAAATGGTAGTCATCAGTGTGATGCTACTTGTCATTATCCACATAAATGCCAAAAGACTTCTTGCAAAGTGAGTCAATTAAACGAAAACGTGTTAAATGTTGACTTTATCTTCTTATATAGGAAACAGTTACTTTGAAATGTAAGTGTAGTAATAAAGAACAAAAGGCACTTTGCTGCTTAGTACAAGGGTAAGTAATAATTACAACTGTTGTTTTTTTTACACTATGGGTTGTTATATAGCCATGGAAAGCCTCTAGAATGTGGCACAGGGTGCACTGCACAAGTGAAACGCAGGAGGTTTGTCTTATCTTAAAAAAACTACTGCATAATTGTACCCTTTGCTCTGCACAGGGATCCTGGTGTGGATTTCGAAGATTGGGTAATTGCACAATTGGAATCATTCATTGAAAAAGCTCAGAAGGTACTTAGCAATTATCTGTAGTTATACACAAGATTACTTCAGTTAGAGTGCAGCATGAAAATACAGGTGAGTGCTATTAAACAAGTGGGAAAAATCATTTCTTCAAAATGAAAGGGGGATATAGGGATGGCTTGAAGCACCAAAAAGGAAGAAACAAGGGGTCATTACACAGCAAAGATGCACAAAGCTACATGACACCATCCCTATATCTTTGTTTTATTGTTCACAACCAATCTTGCCCTGCTGACATTTTCCTCCCTAATTGGGAAAGTGGTCGTCCAGCCGCGCTTGACGTTTCCGTCATTTCCACTCTGCAACAGCTTACCTTGAAGTAAAGTTTAATATGAGACAAAGATATAGGGATGGTGTCATGTAGCTTTGTGCATCTTTGCTGTGTAATGACCCCTTGTTTCTTCCTTTTTGGTGCTTCAAGCCATCCCTATATCCCCCTTTCATTTTGAAGAAATGATTTTTCCACTTGTTTCCACTACTTTTAACAGCTTCTGGCAACACTGCATTTATTGTTACAGTCACTCTGATGTTCATGGCTATGTTGTAGATAGGCTACCATAGACAAATTGAAAGTAGTAGCTAATGGGGCTGCTAGATACAATGTATTGTCTTCAACAAGGATGTAATTAGATTATTGCACATGGTTGTGGTTTCATTGGCAGGCTTTGGTAATCAGGCTACAACCTGGGGGGACAAACAATGAAGGCCCATTTGACTGAGTGCCCCGCAAGGCTCGCGTAACACCGCGCAGACTCTGGCAAGTTGCTCTTCGTGCATATCAACAGCCAGATAGCCAGTTGGAAATGTGCACACTTACTTACAGAAGGTACTGGAGGCTGACAGTTCCTCTGCAGGTCTGCCAACTCGCCCGGTAGAATACGCTCGCAAGCACATTGGACAACGCCCCTGCCTGGCGCATGCGCGCGGATCACTGATGCTGAGTAAGCAGCAAATGGCGTTGTTCAGGTCGACCAGGGAAGAGCTCCATGATCTACCGTAGTGACTAGCGGCAAGAAAGAAACGATCGCTTGATGTCCGTGCACACCTCCGGCGAAATTGGAGACCTTCAGTGAAAAAATCAGTGCTTGAACTGGTACTGGTAAGGAGATAGCGGGTTTAAAGAAGAAGAAGAAGAAGATGAAGAATATGATGACACGAAAATCGTGAAATCGCGTATGAGCGAATTCTCGCGTGGACGACTGAAGGTGCGTATGAGCTCTTGGGGGACATGTATAGGTAGATATGGGCCCGTAGACTATTGCTAGTATGTTTTTAAGGCCTAGGAAGTGATTCTCACAGAGTTTTTAGTCGTTTTGTACGCGGATCACGTGAGATTTCACCCGTGTCATCCCTATATATAGAGTCTACCGACTCTCTAATTATGTGCTCTATACTGGTCAATAAATCAAGTTTGTACAAAAAGCCAACATGAAGGTCTGTCACGAACACTCTCTCATTTAAATAAGAAACCCATATCATAATGTATGGGGAATGTGCCGGAAATTTCCTGAATGTGCAGGAATTTCAAGCAAAATGTAAGAAATTTCCGGCACAACTTGCTCATGTGCAGGAAGAATAATGAGGAAGCTTTAAATTCTTCCTGCACATGTCAAAAATATCTGGATTATGCAGGAATATTTCCTATATTTTTTCATTTCTTCCTGCACTTCTTGAAATCCTTCCTACACTTTTCACAATTCAATTCCTACACATTTAAAAATTCTTCCTGCACTTTTCTGAATGTGCAGGAAGGTTTCAGTAAAGTGACATGGGTTTCTTCAGTTTATACCCTCACTTGAAAACAAGTTTTCTTATTTTAATGAGAGAGTGTTTAACTGTCTGGAGCAACTTCCGTCATAATCATTGTGCGTGTTATAGCAGTCAGAGGTGACGGGTAATAAGCACCAAGTAAGCAGTTTTCTTGTTTTATGAATTGCATGTATACCACTTTAGGGACAAATTCCACCAGAGTATAAGTTTGAACCTACTACAAGCTACAACAGAAGGATCATTCATACTCAAGCAACAGCACATGGATGTACAAGTGAAAGCTTTGGTGTTGAACCAAATCGTTACACAATGGTATGTTGAAAACCCCAAAAATTATTATCTTTGCATTTCCAGGTTTATTACAAGAAGTAGAAACAATTTAGCAAAGCGAACCCACCTAGTAAATTGTGGTTGTCATGGAACCTATGTCATATGCATTTGTATGCGTGATACCATTAGCGAGTTTGAGGAGTGAAGAAGTAATTTTAAAGAAAAGTATACACACCTGAGGCTATTTGTTGATGTGGTTGCCATGCAAACGATGTATAATGCTTGTGTACCAATGTTGTTCACCAGAGAGGGCATCTCGCAAATAGCTACAGTCAAAAAGCTTTGGAATGAGGAGCGTACGGAGCCAATTATCGAACGGTACCTATTATCGAACGCTCGCGAGGCCTGCGAGGGTAAGGAAGTATACGGCTGAAAACGGAGGTGGACAAAGGTATGCGGACCCCCTCCGCACGGTTTTTTTTCGTCGGTCTTTTCTCTTTAGGTAAGTCGTTTTATCAGCTATATGGGCAGCTATTACTTACTTTATTGCCCCACCAGGAGTGCTGGGTATGCCGCGCAAGAGGTGCTCGTTCGCCAGGAAGCGCTCGAGGTCTGCACCCGCCCGTCTTCCTCGTTCGGTGTGGTGGCTGGACCCTCATTCTCGCAAGAACAGCAGCGTCGTTTTCAGGTCGGCTATGGGGAAGATTTTGATGTTGCTGGAGATCCTGACTACGTCTCTTGGCTTCGAATTAACCACCCCCCAAACAAGTGCATCATCAGGCAAATCGCTCCTCCGTCACTTTTCAGATGTCACTCCTGTCGCAGAGATTGCTGTTGACTCTCCCCCTCCTGACACAGATAACAGCACAAAAAACACTCCATCAACGTCGACACTCTCAAAGTTCCTGACCCCTCCTCTAGCGTCAACTCCCACTGGTCGAAAAGGAGGAGCCACCTCGGGGGCTCATTTATTAACAAGTTGGGAATGTGCTCTATACTGGTCAATAAATCAGTTTGTACAAAAAGCCAACATGAAGGTCTGTCACGAACACTCTCTCATTTAAATAAGAAACCCATATCATAATGTATGGGGAATGTGCCGGAAATTTCCTGAATGTGCAGGAATTTCAAGCAAAATGTAAGAAATTTCTGGCACAACTTGCTCATGTGTAGGAAGAATAATGAGGAAGCTTTAAATTCTTCCTGCACATGTCAAAAATATCTGGATTATGCAGGAATATTTCCTATATTTTTTCATTTCTTCCTGCACTTCTTGAAATCCTTCCTACACTTTTCACAATTCAATTCCTACACATTTAAAAATTCTTCCTGCACTTTTCTGAATGTGCAGGAAGGTTTCAGTAAAGTGACATGGGTTTCTTCAGTTTATACCCTCACTTGAAAACAAGTTTTCTTATTTTAATGAGAGAGTGTTTAACTGTCTGGAGCAACTTCCGTAATAATCATTGTGCGTGTTATAGCAGTCAGAGGTGACGGGTAATAAGCACCAAGTAAGCAGTTTTCTTGTTTTATGAATTGCATGTATACCACTTTAGGGACAAATTCCACCAGAGTATAAGTTTGAACCTACTACAAGCTACAACAGAAGGATCATTCATACTCAAGCAACAGCACATGGATGTACAAGTGAAAGCTTTGGTGTTGAACCAAATCGTTACACAATGGTATGTTGAAAACCCCAAAATTATTATCTTTGCATTTCCAGGTTTATTACAAGAAGTAGAAACAATTTAGCAAAGCGAACCCACCTAGTAAATTGTGGTTGTCATGGAACCTATGTCATATGCATTTGTATGCGTGATACCATTAGCGAGTTTGAGGAGTGAAGAAGTAATTTTAAAGAAAAGTATACACACCTGAGGCTATTTGTTGATGTGGTTGCCATGCAAACGATGTATAATGCTTGTGTACCAATGTTGTTCACCAGAGAGGGCATCTCGCAAATAGCTACAGTCAAAAAGCTTTGGAATGAGGACTGGGGGGGTGGTGATAAGAATATACTTAGGTAAGGACGGGAGTAAAGTAGCTAGTCTCCATCCGCGAGTCGAGTCTTCTAGTACTGTGAGCCTAGAGAGGGCGGCTACCCTCCTACTGATTAGACAGATCCTATTGGGTGCCACAGAGGGTACCACCGTCAAGGTACCAAGCATTTATAAGAAAGCCAGGGATGGACACAAAACGTTTGAATTTTGCAATGCAAGCAAAATTTAATGTTCAAACACATCATTGTTACAGATAGCCATGCATTCAACAGACTTTGGTATATAGCTTCCCAAATCATCTGAAAAGATGTTGTTACACCTTTTATTAATTAACCTTCGGCGCGCATAAAAATTAATAGCGATTTTCGTAAAAGTGCTGGGTTCTAAAGTTATGGCGTGAAAACCAAGTGAACAAGCCAATTATGCTATATAGCTAGCTAATTGGCTACCTCGACCCCGTGGGCTCTGTGTATCTTGAAGGCACAAGAAGTCACAACTAAGGGCGGGCATGAATTGACTCCCGCATAATATATGTTTATCTACTACTGCCGGTAGCTCAGTAGCCCGTGTCAGAATCTACGCAAGCTATTAGCCGGAAACCATGAGTAAACGCATACTAAGACTAACTGCTTTGAAGATTGTTATGCTGTTCTTGTGCAGGTTTCTGTTACTAGTTCAGGGTGCTTAGACGAGGAGTTCCATGAAGACTATGATGTAAGGATTGAGAATTACTGTTGTGTACGAATCTACGAAATGCGAAGATGATGAGTACAAAGTGAGCAAAGCAATGATACCTAGGGCAACACCAAGGAAAAAAAGAGCTGCCCTGGGTGAGGCTCGAACCTACGACACACTGCAGTTTTTGTAGACTGCTCTACCCACAAAGCTACTAGGTTGGAGAGCTCAAAGTCTATTACTGCACAATAGAGCAAAAAAACGAGAATTACTCTGGCGGGAATTTCAAGGCATGTGCACTATGTGGCACTCTGGCTGAACACAGTTACCTCTGCAGCCGAGATATAATTATAGCTATAGCCTTGTAAACCCTCGGCGCGCATGGATAGGGTTACAGTACTTGGTCTGTGTGTGTGCGTGTGTGTGTCTGTCTGTCTGTCGATGCCTATTCTCACACTACAGGACACGAGGCGGCCCGCGAGCGATACCAACGGCTTCAGAACTACGCGAACCGGAAAAATATTCCTAAAACGACTGCATTCCAGAGATATGCCATGAAACAAGCGAAAAAGAAAATGTCAACATGCATAATCGCCCTGGGCTTACCTCGACCGATCCGTTTGTCGCTCTGTGTACCTTGGAAGCACAAGGAGCCACGAAGGCGTGTATTGACTCACACATGGAATCTACTACTGTAGCTAGCCCGTGTCAGACTCTCCACGAGCTACTAGCGTGGAGACCACGATACTCATGGCCCCGCCAATCAATTTAGAAGTACCGCGCATGCGTAATGCACTGACGGTTTTCACTTCACATTAACCCTAGACGCGCATGCGCAGCCAGGGTTACGGTACTTGGTCTGTGTGTCCGCCTGTCTGTCTGTCTGTCTGTCTGTCTGTCTGTCAGCAGCTATTCTCGCACTGCAGGGTGGCCCACCAATGGGTTCAGAATCGCACAAGCTTACCTCGACCGATCATCCGCTTGCTCTTTGTACCTTGCGGAGGTGCAAAAAAGTCACTACTAAGGCCCTCCCGTATCGGCATGCTTTCGTATAGTGTAGCCAGCTAGCCCGTGTCAGACTCTCCGCGACCAATTAGCGTGGAGACCACGAGTAAACGAACACTCATATAATTATAGCCCAGCCCATCCATTAACGGTACCGCGCAATCGTATATAATGCGCCGAGGGTTTGCACTTCAGTGCTTTTCATTCTCTAGGAAATGGTTACTACATTGTACTGTAGCTTGACTAGCATGCCAGCAGAGATTTCAAGAAATGGCTCTTACTGCCTAGCTATATATAGAGAGAAAGTAAAGCTAGGTTAAGATCGAGAAATCGCATTACTCAGCACTGTTTTTGGAAGTACGTATGCACATTGTGACAATGCACGGTAGAAATTTCGAACCAATGAAATTACTTGGTTCCCTGGCTCAACTAGCCAGATTCGTTAACTGTTTGGTACTGATATAGCTATACAGTATTTTACTTGCACTGGCCAGTGTTATGATCCAGATGTGGCAGAGGAGAATGTAGCCCATCCTCTACTGGAGAGAGAGTTTGAACTGGTGCAAGCTATGTACGGTCAGAATGCTCTCAAAACAAGGTATGTGCAGTGTTTGGTTTGGCTCTATTGTTATTGATGCATAATAGAGTTTATGGCGGAATTGACGAGATAGACATCTTTATCAACATTGATCTCAACACATTTCTGGATGTGAGTTTTTTGCCTAAGTTTTTTTGTGCCAATGAAAACTAGCCATGTATAAAAAGGGCCTTGGTTAAATCCACTTTTTGTATGGGTGGTGCAATACACACAATGATAAAACAGCCATAGCTCAAAGAGCAGACTGGTACCAGCAGTGGAGTGTGCTTTCATTGCCTCTAGACCTGTGTCTCACGGGTGTATCACAGCAGCACATGTACAGTTTAATGTAGTTTGCTCAATATTTTGCTTCTTTTGTTGTCTTCTCATGTAAGTAATCTTATGTCATGTGCACTGCCTGTGGAAATTTACTTAACTTGCATATAATTATATATACCTATATACAGTGCCTCATATTTCCTCACCCACACATGTACAAAAGCAGCACCCAAGCAGATGTTGGAGAAGTAGCTTTTGGGCTATATAGATTTCCAGCTTTATGCAAGCTTAGCTGTAAACACGTATTTACATAAAAAATATTACATGCAGAGCAGCTCTTATACACATGCATGCACTTCACTAATGTATGTAAATTAATTTTATCGTCTTTTCATAGGAGCACATGCCCTCTGCATGGGGAGTCAACGAGAGTCAGCCCCTGGTAATCTTGCTGCACATCCTGAGCATCAGCAACTATTTGGAAGGTCTAGGTGTGTGGTCACATTCCAGATTTGGTGCACCATGAGAGTGTTTTCGTATCTTTATTAAGCGAAGGCAAGAACTTAGGGGAGTTTCTTTGGATCTACATGCTACAGTGTGTTCCTTCCTGTGTGTTACAACAGAAGTATGTACAGTATCAATTTAAACCCTCGGTGTGCACGTCCAGCGAGGGTTACTGTGTGTCTCTTCGTCGGTTGGTTACCACAATATATTCCATGACGCACAACAACCTTGCTTACCTCGACTGGATTCTGAAAGTTCTTATGCGTAGTCTTACCTACAACGCTATAGCCTGTATAAGAGCAAGAGCGAACATGTAGCTGGACCTTGTGTGATAGTTGATCACACAGCGGTACTTCGGTGCATGCTGAATGAGAGTACACTGTGCCATAGCCCAGTGGTGTATTAATTCACTGGCAATTGAGGTAGGAAGGTTCCATAAGCCCAGGCCTCTCCCTGTAACGGATCGACTATGTACAGTCTGTGACATAATTGAAGACGAATATCACTTTTTGTGTGTCCACAATATTCATTAAAAAGGCAACAAATGGAAACAACGGTAGAAAATATCTTCTCTTACTATCGCTTTCTGTCTCAAGAACAGAAGTTTATAATTTTACTCAGCCATTCCCACCCACAAGTGAACCACCTTTCATTTATAATTCTTTTGTCATGCACAACAGTAGGTGACCAGTGAGCCACCCTGGCTCCTTAGTGGTCGTTATTAACCCTCGGCACAAATGCGCAGCGAGGGTTACGGTAGTTGGTTTGTCTGTCTGTCTGTCTGTCTGTGTGTGTGTGTGTGCATGGGGGAAGAGAGAAAGAAGAGTGCTAGGGATTGAGAGGCTTTTGTCCGTTGTCACATGCATTGGCTTTTTGAATGCCTGTACACGACAGTCCCACAACCCATCTCCAAACCCAACAACTAGAGAACCCTGTTTGTACTGTCTAGTTTGTCTGTCATACCTAATGCACCAGTCATCAGGGGAGCTCCTCAGCAGATCATCGTGTAGGTCACAGGTTTCGGTCCCTTTAATCTCCTGACCTGTGCCTCACTACCACAGAGGCGGGACCACTCCCACGTAACGGAGTCTGGTATCCGCAGTCCAGTCGGTTTGTCTTGCTAAGTTATTCGTCTGTCATGCCGTTTTTCTAAGTCCTATTTTAGGTTGTGAAAGTAAAAGAAGGTGGTATGCATGCACAGATAGTTTACCTCCATCCTTACTGCCTTGTTGCAAGATTAGACAAGATACACATTACCTGCCTTGGGCTGGCATCTTCTTACAACCACGTGAGGAGGAGTATATACCAATAATTGCGTGGGCGGCTGAGCATGCGCGTGGATGGCAAGGGGGATTTTTTACTCCTGTGTGTGTGTGTCGACGCTTTCAGAACTACGCGAGCCTGAAAAGTAAAAGGGCGTTTTCTTGAAACGACTGCGTTCGAGAGATATGCCGTGAAAGAAAGCGAAAAAGCCAATATGCTCAGGAAGTCACAACAAACGGCATGTATCGACTCCCGCATGCTATATACTACCGTAGCTAGCCCGTGTCAGACTCTCCGCGCGCTATAGCGGAAGACTAATCGCCCAGCCCATCAATTAACAGTGTCGCTCATGCGCAGTTCGCCGAGGGTTTGCACTTCAGTGCTTTTCATTATTACTATTATTATAATTGAACGAAACCATACCAGCTGGGTAAAGCACTCACCTAGACTGCCGAGTGTCGTGGGCTCGATTCCCATTCTTGCTTCCTTTGGGTGTAGTTGACTTGTTTCCTGTGCCTACCTAGTGGCTAGTTGATACATGTGTGTTACCTATACCTGCACACATGTGCACAACGCCAGTGGATTTAGCACTTTAGTGTGTCTTTCATGTTCACAGAACCCAAGGTGACTGTGTTCCAAGTCAAGGACGATGTGGCACCAACAGCCAGTGCTTACGATGGAAGCACTAAGAGACGCAAAATTGGCATCTGCAGCCAACTTGAAAAGTAAGCAGATACTGGCTAACTTGTACTTGTATATAATGATACATGTTGTATAATATAATATTAATTGTGCATATGCATATTAACACGCTGACGCGAATTAGAGCGAGTTGGATACATAGTATAGTCAGATGTCTTTATTTCAGGGGTTAAATTGCATGCCAAACTCTCTGCGAGGATGAAAGATGTTTTATAGGTGTCCTTGTCTCTATTGGGTGAATTTTAACCCTTGGCGCGCATGCACCGTTACTTGGTCTGCCTGTCTGTCTGTCTGTCTGTCTGTCTGTGTTTTTCTATGCCTAATCTTGCAGTACAGGCTACAAGTTGGCCTATGAGTGATACTAGGGCTATGAAAGCATGAAAAATACAAAGGTGATTTTCCGTTCCAGAGAGTGAAAACAAGCGAAAAAGCCAACATGCACGTATACGCGATTGCAATATGCGATCGATCACGCATGTGCCCCTGCCGGCTGGCTACGCTGGAGCGCACGCTTCGTTTGTATCAAAACGATTTTCCCCCGTAAACGTCAGTAATCGTGGCGACGAATCATTTTCTGGGCGACGAATCGATTTTCGAGGCGACGATTCTCCTTTCGTAGCGACGATTCTTCTTTCGTGGCGACGAATTTCTACGGCTAAGATCGTTTATCAAGCGACGAAAGCTTCTCAAGGGAACTGATCTAGGATTTAGGGCGACAACCAGTTCTACTACTGCGACGATATTTCGTGATAGAGGTGGGAGAGTCCAAAGGTTAACTTACTCGTAGAGGCGGGACTTTGGAAGCGACCGATCGATGTATATATACTGTAATGGCACCCTCTGGGAAAGTTGACCTTTCAACTTTCCCACCCGATCACGAGAAATTGTCGCAGTGATCGCCCAACCTGGTCGCCGCCTCAAGCCAAGATTATTATGACAGAATTCTGTCGCTTGACAAACAATCGTCGCCGTATAAATTCGTCGACGCAAAAGACATATATCGCTACGGAAGGAGAATCGTCGACGCGAAAGCGGTTCGTCGCCCCGAAAACGATATGTCACCCCGATTACAGAGGTTCACGTAAAAAAATCCAAACGGCGTGCCATATATCATGCCAGTGTTAGGGCATTCGCATGCCCGGAAAAGGCCATGTGGTGGTTTTAGTTGCCAGGACGGACGAGCAGTTTTTTGAGTGTTCAGTTTTGATATCTGTTCTCTTTGTTCCCAAAGTTGAGCAAGGTACGTCCGCAATGTAGCACAACAGTTCACGTGAGATGAGCAGTTTGTGGATGTGGTCTTGCCTTCCCATCTAAACGTAAAGCGCAGTCTCGCAAGCAATGAAACACATGTGCTAAAATTATTGCTATAGTATAGGTTGTGCATGGGTATTATGCCGAGGGTTTGCACTTTCGTTAACCCCCAGCGCGCATGCGCAGCGAGGGTTACTGTACTTGGTCAGTCGGTCTGTCTGTCTGTACGCGCACTACAGGCTACGAGGCAGCCAATGAGTGGCACCAACTGGTTGTGAACAACGAGAACATGGATATTAACGTGGCGATTTTCCTGAAACGACTGCGTTCCAGAGATATGGCGTGAAAACAAACGAAAAGCCAACGTGCGGTCGATCGCGCACGCGTCATGTCAATTTTTTTGCCGGAGCATGCGCTACGCCACGTTGGTTCTGTCAGTTTTGATCTCTGTTCTCTTTGTTTTCAGTGGATAAACATGCTGAGCAAGGTATGTTCGCAATGTAGCATAATAGTTCAGGTGGCGAGAAGTTTGTGGATGCGGCCATAGCTACCTTCCCATCTATAAAACGTGTAGCGAGAGTACTACGGATAGATTGAATGAAGCAAATATGAGAGCCTCTGAAACACCTGAGCAATTGCACTAACCGCTAATGCAGCTACCCTGTGTTACGGCGAGACTCGTGTTAATGGCTCCGTCGATCACGCATGGCCCAGCATACAGCGATGCTACAACTCGCGCATTTAGCGCCGAGGGTTTGCACTTTAGTGCTTTTCATTAAGAGTGTAAGTGTCCTCTTGAAACTGTGTACATTCGAGGCACAGCTTTTGAATTGTCAAACAGTGCTGTATAGTTTTGCAAGCAGGACCTGGAGTGATGTATAGTCATAATATGGCACAAAGCATGTATAAGTTACCTATGTATCTACTTTAAGAAGTATACATCCACTCTGCAGAATTTTGCAGACATTTGTTTCGAAGCAGTGGCGCAAAATCAGTTTATCCACTGTTGACAGAGCAAGTGAGATTACTTAGTCTAGACAATATATCGTTCTTGTGTAAAACAGCACATAATTTCCCATGTATTGAGGAAGAAGCTTGGTTTGTCAGGTTAAAGGCATAGCTCTGAATTCTCTGTTATTCATGTGTACTAAGTACCAGCAGTGCCATTGCGCCCACACAACACATGCTCACGTTTAATTGGGTGTGTGTCATTTACAGTTCCCTCTGTTAGTCCATGAAATCAAGGTTCGTACAAGCCCGAGGGTCTTGCACTGGAATGCCACAATGAAAGGGCCATTTGGTTCTAATGCGCATAGATTTCACAAACTTGCTGTCTAACTAATGTATGTCTAACTTGATCCTGTGACTTATTTGTGTGCAGTGTCCGCAGTGTCCGCAGTGTCTGCATTAGAATCGTTCTTAATTTTCAGTGTCTGGAGAGACTCCTTCGTCCAAGACTCCAGGAACGTGTCATACGGTGGACCAGAGGGAGGATGCTAAGCTGGCCAAGCTGGTGGAGATAGGGTTTCGGGGCAGAGGGAGGCCAGGGAGGCCCTCCACCAATGCCGGGGAGATGTGGAGGGTGCATGTGAGACCCCTTCGTCCAAGATCTCTGGAACGCATCATCCGGTGGACCCGAGGGAGGATGCTAAGCTGGCCAAGCTGGTGGAGATGGGGTTCGGGGCAGAGGAGGCCAGTGAGGCCCTCCACCAATGCTGGGGAGATGTGGAGGCTGCATGTGAGCTCCTGGTCACCACTCCTTCTGGACCGTTCTCATCTGGTGGTGGGAGTGGCTTCCTCTCCTCTCTTGTCAGGTCTATACATAGTATACGTACATGATTATTGATTGAGGCTCGTAACGATAGAAGAAACATTAGAGATGTATCAAGAAAGGTTTTGCACCATGCTCCTTTATCAGTTGCAAAATCCACTTGACCAGCCCAGAATATGAGGATGATAGCTTCAGTTGAAGGACCTCCACCAGGGTCCTAAGTTAACCGATTGACAAGAAATTTAGTGTGAAAAAGAGTATTTACATGTTGAAGATGCGTGTGAATGAGCATCCGCCTTTTTTGTGATGAAAAGATAGCAGCAATCTGTAACTTTGTTTATGCCTGTGGAAGTACCTACATATTATGTAAATCAGAGATCGAGGACTTGTCTAATGCACATGAGAATGGTGCTCAAGGGTAGCAGTTGTACATGTACACAAAACAGGCAATGGTGCATATTCTGTGATACATGAGCCTAAGTGACGTAAGAGAAGACCGAAGAAAGCTCCGTTTATTAGGGCCAATGATGACATGATCAACTTGATCAGAGGTGGTCATAAACCAACCGCACCGTCATTCTCGCTACAGCCCTAACTAAACATCATGACTGTCAGCATGCTGAATTCGGGTTTTGGCTCGTGCTGGCAACGCCTTGTGGGGATGAATCTCATTAGTTCAGAACTGCAAGTGCTGCGCCTGAGCAAAGCCTGTGGGGATGAATCTCATTAGTTCAAAACCACAAGTGATGCGCTCAACTCTGCCTTTATAAACTCGTGATGCCAGAGAGAGAAGTTGCGGTATGCTTTGCTGATGAGGGCTAACAAGCCCGAAACAGCTGTCCAGAGCTCCCATCTTTTTTCTCTTGGCATCACATGGTCTATTGTTACATGTGTCTTAAAAGCTATAGCTACATAATTGTACAGGTTAGGGTTTGTTTAATGTTTTGAAGTCCAGCTTATCACATGTATATCCGAAATCCTCAGGTGGGTATGGTTTTGGAAGATCATACTCCCTCCTACACTGTAATAACAATCACATTACAGTCACACTAACCTCCCAAGTAACTCATGTGTTGCACATTTGCCGTAGGTATTACTCCTGCTGGTGGCACATATTTTATCTCTTAAGTTAAGTAAGTAATTCCTTACCCACATCATGTAACAAGCTGCAGTACAAGGTTTCCTGCAGGTATAAACCTGATTGCTCACCAATAACCACAATAATTCAAATGTAGTTTTCTGCCGGGATATACACGACAAGACTCAATGGGAGCCCAGTTGGAAGTGACGGAACACCATGATCCTGAGGTATGGCGTTAGCTCTCTGTACATGTTGTATATCTATTTATGTGACGAGGGTGGAGCCTAAAGGCTTTTTTACTGTTACTGCTCCATGTTTGAATCCTATGCAGCACCACAGTGTACATTATACCGACACTGTAAAACCAGAATCATAGGAATTTGTACACAGCATACATAAAGGTGCTTTTAGGATAGAGAAGGATTCTATCATAACGACGCGGCAAAGAGGCAAAGCTCGACTGGGGCAATGCAACATTATTGCCTAAAGTTGGTGATGTCATGTGTATTCATCTGACTCCTCAGGGGGACAAGAGGACCCCTAGTCTGGAGAAAGGGTTTCTGGTCCAGGTGGTCCGCTATGCTCTCAACAGACTGAAGTCTCTCAATAAATTCTGTGTCATATGTGACGAAAAACATGTGCTAGAGTCTGGACTGATCAAAGTAATTGCTTCATTTACTTCCCTCTATTCAACCAGCTGTTTTTGTTCCTTCTTTCACTAAACTCGTTACAACCTGTATGGTTTATACAGGTTAATTCTATTATCTTTCTTGTAGCCCTGTGTCTGTACTCGAGACCTTTGTGTGTTTGCCTTCCAAACACTTGGAGTAATGGCTGATGGTGCAGAGGCCATTGCATCTGACCGAGATGAAGATTGTGTACACTTGCTGATGTGAATGTCTGTGTTAGTTACTGTGTTTATTACATACCAAACTGTAGCGCTGTGAGTTGTCATACAGTGCTATTCACTGCCACGTCACTTGCCATGAGATAGACCCTACTCAACTGCTGAATGCCAAGTAGCGGATGTCGTTAATTCCGAACAGCGCATGATCACTAAGAACGGTAGCATAGTATATAGGGATGGGCATGGTACCTAGCAACATAGATGTATGGGGCTATCAGGGGCGTAGGCAGGATTTTAGAAATGAGGGGGCAAAAGCGAAAAAGCGCGCATGTGCGAAAAGTTTTATACCGGAAGCCGCGCACGTAATTTACACAGGAAGCCGGAAGTAAAAAGTAGGCCGGTGTGTGGCGCTTTAGTATGCATTATTGGCTAGGCTCAGCAGCAGTCAGTCAGTTGGAGTTTGTGACACTCTAACTACGCTGCTTGGCTAGCTAGCTTATATCAACTACACGTGGCTTAGTTGTTTTAGCAGCCACACCAAACGGCCGGCGTAACGCGCGCAAGAACATCTTAACGTGCGCATGCGTTCATACGCGATTTTCGCGAGACGCCTGAAGGGTCTCGTTGCCGTCACTCCAACTGTCTTTGCTGACAGCCTCGCGTAGGCACTCAGAGAAAAGCGTGTAAGGTAAGTGTTGGTATTATGAGTCGGGGGGTATTATGGGTAAATATTCCAAAAAGCTGCCAAACACTGTGTAACTGCTTCCTACCGTCGGGACGTTAGCCCAGCAAATCGTCGCCACATTTTAATATCCATCTTCCTGTTGTTCACAACCGGTTGGTGCCACTCAACGGCCGCCTTGTAGCCTGTAGTGCGAGAACTCACGCGGGACAGACAGACAGACAGACAGACCAAGTACCGTAACCCTCGCTGCGCATGTGCGCCGAGGGTTAATTATACTAATACCAAATACAAACTGGCACCAAACTACTACTTGTGTTTACAGAAATATAGCCCATAGTCAGCTACCTTATGTCCAGTCTAAGCACAATACCAACGTTATTTTACCTAAGAGCTGTTCTTAGCCGCTGCAACTCTATTATTTGAAACAGTACGCAAGTGGCAGTATAGTGAAGGGTGATTGGTTTATAGTTTTAACATTTGAGTCTCATGATGGGCTGGCAACCTGAAGCAGTGGTAGCCTTTAGACATCTTTTCATCAATTGCAACCCATACAGAATGCAATTAAAAGCACTGAAGTGCAAACCCTCGGCGCACTGCACATGTCAAGTACCCCTAATTGATGGGCTGGGCTATCAGTATGCGTTTATACGTGGTCTTGTGCCAGCTCATGGAGAGTCTAAAGACGGGCTAGCTACACTAGTAGATAGCATGCGGGTGTCGATACACGCCCTCCATTGTGACTTGTTGTGCCTTGAAGGTACGCAGAGCCAGCAGACCTGATTGAGGTAAGCCCAGTGCGATTGTTGTTTTTACGCCATATTTCCCGAACGCAGTCCTTTCAAAAACGCCATTTTTTCGGGCTCTCATAGTTCCGAAGCCGTTGGTATCGCTCATTGGCCGCCTCGTAGCCTGTAGTGCCAGAATAGCTAGTGAGTAACAGATACAAACACAGAGACCAAGTACTGTAACCCTCGCTGCGTATGCACACAAAGGGTTAACAAACATCCCTTCATCACGATCATGACTGGAGCATGAAAGCTCTTCTAATAAAAACATAGAGTTTACCATAGTGTCGGAGAGAGTGCAGGTTTGCGAAGAGAGTGTCTTGACAAGGAGTTGGTAGCCTCTGGGGTCCTTACTCTGGAGCACTCTCTCCGGTAGGCATGGCAACAGAGCCTGTTAAAGGTAAGAGCAATACACTATGGATGTCAGGAAATGGAAAGATCTCTTCCCAAAACACAAAGAGCCAACTATGATTTACCAGGTGCAGAGTTCAAGTGGGACTATGAAGGATGTGGAAGCATCCTTTGACTGATTCTGTGCTCAAGATTTCCTTCAGTTCAGTTCTCCATACATTTGTAGTCCTTACCTCTCTGCACTTGGCCCTTGCCCTGCTGTGGAAGTATCTGGCACTCTGCAGAATAAGACCTGTAAACAACGAAGAGAGCACATTCTAAAAAAACCACCAGTAACAATGTAAAATGGCCATATGTTGACCTACAGTGCAGGAACTTGGTGTATTTCCTCAGTCTCAACCCTCGGAGCTGCAGTGTCCTGAGGGCAGTGTGTGTCTTGACTGCCAGCAGCAGGAACACCTGGTAGACATTGCAGAGAACTGTCTTCTCTGATTGCACCTGGTAAGAGAGAAACTTTTGTAACAATCCCACGATTGACTTACATGGCAAATGACATTGTAGGAATAATTTTTTGCAGAACTGATGATCACGTGATTATGCATGGTTAAAGGTTCTTCTAGTGATGATCATGAATGAGCTAAAAAGGTTGACGTGTACCTGACAATCAAGGAATAATGGCTGGCATTTCAGCACCAAGCTCTTCTCATCAGCTGGTGGAGGTTGAGCAATGGTCTCGGGTGGGTAATGATGCTCAGGTGATCTCTTATCTCTGTGACAACCAACATGGTTCAATCAATCACAATCCCATAAACCTGAGTTCACAAAATATGTCACATTTGCATGGCACACAGTGCCTGTTCACATAGCACTGTTCAAATATATTCCATCCTTGCGGACATGCAACACTGCACGGCATTACAACTGCACCATTTTTGTGAATCCAGCCTAAAAGGACTCCATTACACTAAACTCACTCTTGCTGGCATATCTAGTGTAATTAGATCGGACTTCAAGATTTGTTGTGTTGATGAGAACACCACACCATGCCATCCAGTCTTCTGGAAAGAAACCATAGCGTAAAAAGGACGTAGCTAATACTGATAGTACTTACTGTGTTCATCAAGAGTAAGACTCCCATCCTCATTCAGTTTGAAATTGGTATTTGTCTTTGCAGCATTAGCAAAGCAGTTGTACTCAGTAATTCTTCAGAGAAACAAACTTGCTCAACATGAAGTTTAATAATGAATTGTATATACCTTTCAAGAAAGGTTTTGGCCTTCTCCGGGTCATGAGTCATCAGAAAGAAATCATCAACATAGTGTATTAGCAGCTAGCAAGAAAGAGAACAGTAGCAAAAGTAAAACGTTTGAAGCAAGGGCAATTTGTATGTACCTCAGTTTCAGGATTGATTCTTGGAAGATAATCTCTGACCATCTCGTCATAATAGAAACTGGCATGAGTAAATTTGAACAGCTCACCCCAATACACAAAGCACACGGCACAGTAGTGTTTTTAGAAAGATGAAGAATTGCTGTGTATATAACCAACAATGGACGGGCCTGAAGTGTGAAGTGGAGTTGTTGTGAGGCACTTACTGCACAAGGTGTCACATTTTGTTCGTTCTTTTTGCATAGAGACCCAATTGGACTTAACTACATAAAGTGACAGTGTATGTCCCAATACATGGGGTCGCATTTTTAGAAACTATGTGACTGTGCATGCTAGTGTACATGTTGGCCTGCTGTATTTTCAGTACAGTTCACCAAAGAGAGAGCTAAACCATAGTCATGTCTTAGACAAACCAATAAAATCATTGATAACTCCATAGCACGTTATGATACATTACGTATATACCTGCAGAGTATGGAAGAAATGCAGGAACCCTGGGGAACCCCCTTCTGCTGTCTGAAAAACTGGCCCCTAAACTGCAGCCACAAGTCACATGTTGTACATTGTCTCCAGCAAAGGAAAGTGAGACTACTTTACCTTCACAATGTTGTGGAAAAGATGACTCTTCAGTTGAGATAAGATCTTTAGTCGGTCCATCACAGGATAAGACACCTATATTCAAAACTAAAACCATGGTCACAGTTGTAAAACTGATCCCTTACCATGTCAACGAGAATGCAATTTCTGACATTTAGGGATTTGGCAAACTCCAAAAACGGTTCACAGAGCTCTGTGCAAGTACAAGTAAAATTATTCACTCCAGTAATAATAATAATGAATTTTTTACCTCTTGTTGTTGCAACTTTCATGAACGATCTCTTGATTGTTTGGTTTGATATCATAACTGTTGCATAGCGTCTCAACAGATAAGATTTCTGAAAAGATAAAGAGGTGACACAAACACAGAGACACACATATCCTATTTAGCCAGGCAAATCAAACACTGCAATATGAAAGGCTCAATTTCAGCATATCACGCAAAAAGGTAGGTAGAGTAATAAAAAGCAATCTCTTAAGTTGCCATATTACAATAGATCCACTTTCTTGTGTATAAAAGCAAGATGGAGAAGGGGGAGCTGAAACCCATTTTACTGGCTACTAGAGTTTCCTACTAAATGCACGAGACAGGACGTAGCTACCATACATAATTTGTGATCGTTAGACGTAAGATGTTATAAGCCTGCTGATCATAATGTGTCCAGCTAGTAGCTATGAGCATGGCATATTCTTCAGAATGACAATAGCTAGCTACCTGACAGACAATCTTCTTCTGAATGATTGTATAGACCAGTCGTGGGGCAAGTGAGTCAAAAGAGTTGGTGACATCCAGATGGACTGCATAGAATGGTGTTCTGCAGAGACAGGGAGAAAAACATATGATAGTCACTCAATAGTGCTGTAATTAATTCCCTAAAGTGGTAACCCCCCGTGATTTGATAGTAAATAGTAAAGGAGCAGTGAGAGGTCTTGATGCCATGCATCAGCTGGCGAACTGACACTCTCTCCCATCGCCTCAGGTTCACTATGTATCTCTGGAGATGTGCCAGCCCAGTCAAGTCAATAGCTACTGACATGTCACTCTATACTCTACAATAGTGAGAAGCTAGGTTTGCCAGGCTCCATATTCTGGCATGTTGTATATATGTGGACGGCCTTAGAAACTTAGACAAAGTAAACTATGGATTATAGCTGTTCACAGAAGAGAAGAGCCTGGAAACCAGGATGAGACCAACTTATCTGGAGTACACATTGGTACAAGTGAAGTAAGGATATGGGTAAAGAAACATCTCCTCTTAGTGAGAGACCCCCATAATTGTTGTGGTATTAGAATGTTGAGAGTGCAGATCAGAAACTGTGACACCTGCGCAGTTAAGTGTGGATAAGTGCTCATAAATAAACGTGAAAAAATTATTATAATTATATACCTTTGTTGGATTACACAATTTGTTGTACATATCATCCTCAGGATCCTGTAGATATTACGTAGGTTAGGATTACTACATATGACATCAGCTATCCATCAGCTTGCAACACTGTTTACCTGGTTTGCCAGTGGTAAGTAGCTGTCAAGAATGCATGGAAGCTTCCTGCCCTACATGAATTGTCAGGCTGTTAGCACCTTTCAGAAACACTATCCAAATCTTACTTTCTTCTTGAAGTTTGATAGCAGAAGCTGAAAGTAAGGGACAACTGATTGGTATCTTCTTGGAAGTCTGCTTATCTGAAAGAAAGAAACAATCTGTGCATGCCTACTTACATACCTAACAGTGACAGCCATACTCGTGTTTTTGACTGTTTTTGTGATTCCCGAGACATCCACTTGTCAATGAAAACATGTTTGACCAATTTCACAGCTCCTCTCCGAGAAGCCTTGAATGTTTTCAGGTTATCTGCAACACAGAGTATATATACTTCAGCAGTGCATGTCACAAACATCAATAGTGTGTGCACACAGCATTATGAACATATGCTGCTGTATTGTCTATAGCTCACTATTACGATGTTTATGACATGATCTGCTAAAAGTATTGCATACGTGACTTCCTGAGGTACTCTTGCGATGATGAGCAGTACATAATGTCCTTCTTCTTGTGAGCTGTGCTCCAGATTTTCCGGAGATGCCTCAACTGCCACCTTTAGTATTGCATTCATATGAGACGGTCTACACAAAAGAGCTAACCTTTCAGCTGGACTTGAAGTATTTCTGCCTATCATAAAACCCACAAAACAACGACTTCATAAAGACCAAACTAACACAGCACTTACCACTGCACCTTCTCCTGAGGCGTGCAGCAACCCGTTTCCTTTTCTGGTAGAGCCTTCTCCTCCTCCTGTTCATGTTACGCAGTGATCGACCTCTGATGTGCCGACTCCCACTGTGCACTGCAGACTGTACGACAGGCCACTTGCTGGTGGGTGGGTAATGTAGAACCGGGCCACCAGTGACGGGCAGTGGTGTCACATCACTTGTTCCATTGCTCATGCCAGAATGATTCCCTGCCAGCTTCAATTTCTTTTCCAGAGGACAACTAGCTCTGCTGTGCGTGATTGCAGCCGGTTGATCTTCATCCATTCTTCATTTGCCCGGATGCAGCTCAGTGAGCAGAAGGGTGTACATGCAACCAATCACATTGTATATTGGAATCCCTGTGTATAAACATGGACTGGCTTGCAAGCAGTGGTTGCATGAAGCGTAAGCTACCTGTGATCTGAACATAGTTCCTCCCAGAGCCCAGAGCAATGAAGAGTGAGGCTTTGCTGAGGATAAACTTCAAGGCTTTGTCACCAATCCTGTAGAACAACCCAATGCCATGACAAAGTTAATTGCAGTCAGGATCATATCAAAAGTACCTGCTATGCAGTAGAGAGAGCTCGGTAGTGTAAGATGCACATCTCGACCACTGAACACAGATAGTGTCCAAGTGGTACCGACAACTCTGCTTGCTATGGCAATCTAAAATGAAGTACTCACCCCTTGCTTGTCTATGGCTGCAACGATAGAATGCAGCGATTCTTGCTGCATGGGTGAAAACACATTGAGGTCGTTACTCCCACAGAAACTGTCTTTATGATTCGAGGCCAGAATTGTAGTGGTGCAGAAGGAGCAGAAACTTGTTTGAGCATGTTGGGTCAGTTGAACTTTGCACAATTGCTGGACAGCTTCTTCCAGCAGGGCAGTGTAGCCGTACAGCTGGTGGAGGATTGACCACACCGGCAAAGTCCCTGTCAACACACGTCAGTGTCCAAACAACACTCCATATCGCCTTACCTTCCCTCTCACATGGTTCATTTTTACGCATGCGCACACTACAGGCTGCGATCCCAGCTGATTTAGAGTAAGCTGAGAGCTGAGCCGGAGGTGGTCCGGGACGGTAATTGCCGGGGCAGCATTTGTGAGAAGCGAGCCAAGCTAGTGTTCTCGAAGACGGCGCAATGTGGCGCTAGTCCGGCTCCGCGGTCCGTGCGGCGGCGAAGTCGCGGCCCTTCGCGTGCGCATGCGTATGGGAGACACCAGTGAGTTCGCATAATGGCTTAATGTGTCAAACAACTCAGCCTGGTATGTGCTGAACTTCGTCTAATCTCACCATCAGTGGCTCTGGAAGTAGCACCACCATGGGGTGGTGGTTTTCACATAATTTATAGCCCTGTCCCTAGAGAACAATTGCAACAGCCACAATGGCTAAATTCTTTAAAGTTAAAGTTGAAACCCTCGGCGCAGAACCAGCACTTAGCTATACTTGCACTAAACTGATATTTTAGCATGTACAGCAGCCACAATATTTGTTGTTTACGAACATAGAATTTGCAAGATGATTCTTAGTTCCCAAAAAATGGATGATAAAAGGTTACCAGAAAGAATCTAACTCGCAGCAGCGGTGTATAGTTATAATAGTGCAAGTAAAATTAAGATCTTTAATTTTCCAGTGCCAATTCCGTCACTGCTGCAAATTGTAAGCGATTTGCCTTCTTCTATAAGACTCTCCCACAACACCGCCACTTCCTTATAGAATCTCCCCCGAGCTATGTCTTTTGGCTTTCCCCTACAATCATCTCTTATAACGGTAATTTTATCGTCATGGTCATCTTGGAGAAGATGGGTCCCAAAGTCTTCATTTGTAAGTGTCCTTTATCCCTGCTTCAACTGCGGCAAAAAAATCTGGTCTGATTCTTTGACCATGAATCACTAGATCTTCCTGCTTTAATTTTCTAGTGTCAAGAATCTTGAGAATATTGACATAGACAACGAAAAAGAGAAAAATATTAACAAACGTTACTGAGCCTGTTTTTATTTACGAACGTGTTGCAGTTGCTCGACATTTCAACATCCAGTTTGTCGACGCCAGAGGCAGATCCAACATATGATAACTGGCCGGGGTTGTCAATATAAAATACTTGCGCATGCGCAGGTAGGGCCTTAGAGAGGGGGCGCGGTTAGCGTATATACGACGTACGTAGCTACTCGGGTGATGTTACGGCGCGTGAACTTTTGGGGCGCTGCTTACCCTGTGGCGGTGCGCTAAGCCTACACAATCATCTGGGGTGACAACGTGGTTTTCAGGTCAGTGTCAGTGGTCCGCTTCTTGGCGTCATTGCTTTACGAAACCCCCTCAACCCCCTCCCTAGATCCGCCCATGGGTGCTGTCACAAAGTTCCCACTTTGCGGTGTGGGAGACTGTGTTGTACTAGCTACACGCGAGGAGGAGCCCACTTACAAGATAATTCAGCCACTATAGCTGTTTCCTTCGAACTAGCTGCTGTTTTTGAACGAGCACATATCTGAAGTATTGACTATATTACTTTTTGGGCATTACTTTTCTGTGTAAATCGGCATATTCGTCAAAGATCATGCAGTTGCACTGCTGCCCACCTTGTTTTACCAGCACATTCTTCAAAAGCAGTAGTTGTATATAGCACACTCAAACGTTTATCTAAGGATTTATATTCCATTTCTTTCATGACTATTGGCAAATAATTTGCTTTCAGTATCTCCTCAAATGCATGCTCTTATATACTAAGTTATGAATTCCTGTGTTCACACAGAGTAATTTGGGGTTGCCTTGCCTTTGTATTGTATTTGCTCTCTGCTAGCTTTATTACAAAACCGTGACGCCACGCCCCTGCATGGTTCCTATAGTGGTCGGTTTCCTTGCACCAAAAATACCTTCATACCTCTGTTTAGAGAAAAGAAGGTGCAGCGGTCGGATTCGCGCGTGCGGTATGTCTCAGTGGCGCATGCACGGGCTCTATACTACAGAGAATTCTTTTTGCAGCCAAGTAGGGATAAGCTATGAACATGCATTAGCATTATGGAGCCCTTCCCAGTACTCTCTTCTCATTTTTAGCACTGAGGCTGCTGGTATCGCTCGTTGTCAGCCTGGCCGTAAGTAGCCGGCCTAGTGCAATAACCCTCGGTGCGCATGCGTGGCAGGGGGCTTACCCGTTACGTACACGTACGTAAGCACGCACAAGAGCAAAAAACACAGATTTAGCCAAAACAACGAAGCCAGGGCGGAGGACCCACACCGTTCTTCACACGTGTAAAGTGAGTCTCAGTACGGTTTAGGGTGAAAGGCGGAGCAACTATAGTGCGCACCGTGCTATGAGTATAGCGTGGTTTGTCGGTCTGTCTCTCTGTGTTTGCCTGTTGAAGTCTTTGTAGTCCAACTTCAAACAACCCGGCGCTAGGATTCTGAGCTGTGGGCTGAGGGCTGACCAATATCAGTATTGGACAGGAAGTCCTCATCACAACATCTATAGCGCTAGGCGTAGTATATACAATTGTCTGGTTTCCAAAGTTTACACAACAATCGATGCTATATTATTGTACAGGATGACACTGCAGAAATTTAGCATTGTGATTGGCTAGTTGGACAACGTATTAGTTAACGTATAGGCTATACTCCGAGGCTCCGCCCTCGTCCGGTATAGTCAACGGCCTCTGTCTCGCCGCCTATACGTTAACTACTACTTCTATTCTGGCTATTAGAGCCTTGGTAGATGCTCTATAATATAGGGATGGCATGGGTGAAATCTCACGTGATCTTCGTATAAAACGACTAAAAACTCGGTGGGAATGACTCCCTAGGCCTTCAAAACGCTAGAAATAGTCTACGGGCCCATATCTACCTGCTCCCATAGACCTCATAATATGCACCTTTATTCGTCCACGCTAGAATTTCGTTCATACGCGATTTCACGATTTGTGTCGTCATATTCTTTATCTTCTACCCGCTATCTCCTTACCAGTACCAGTTCAAGCACTTATTTTTTCACTGAACGTCTCCAATTTCGTCATCGTTCCCGCAAGTCACTACGGTAGATTGTGGAGCTCTTCCATGGTTGACACTGAACAACGCCATTCAGCATCAGTGAGCCGCGCACATGCGCCAGGCAAGGACGCTGTGCGCGCGTGTATCACTAAGTACGGTAGTACTTAGTATATAGGGATGGGTATGGTACCTAGCATCATAGATGTACAAGTAAATTAAAAATCCTGCGAATTAAAAAAAAGAGGCATATAGGGATCGTATAAAAAGAAAGGAAAAAGAAACTACCGTACTTAGTGATAGGGCTATGATAGGGAATTTTGTTCATCATCATCATCTTCTTCTTCTTAAACCAGCATAACTCAAAAAGCGAAAGAGATAAAGCCATGAAATTTTGTAAGAATGTACATATCGATAACCACATGTGCAATGTCATACTTTTTTGTTTGTAAACAACAACAAAATTGACCCAGGCAATACATTATAATGGGCATACTACAGTTGTCAATGTAACTCCCAATTGGTAAGAGCTACGTCAACGGAAGCTTGCATACTTAATGTATTCAATCACCAACATTAAAATCACAAAAAATACGTGTTTCCACAACAAATAGCCTCAGGCACTCCTCTTTAAATTTACTTCTTCACTTCTCAAACTTTCCAATGGTAGCACCATAGAGATGAAACTTGGTATGTATGCCTATTATATCATTTCCATGGCGATAACATGTTTCCATGACGACCGCATATTGTTTGAAAAAGCCTCAGGCAATTTTCTTTTAAAACTACTTCTTCACTCCTCAACCTTGCTAACTATAGCACGCGTAGAGGTGAAACTTGGTGTGCATGTGTATTACATCGTTTCCATGACGACCACAACAACAAATAACCTCAGGCACTTTTCTTTAAAATTACTTCTTCACTGCTCAAACTTGCTGACTGTAGCACGAATGGAGGTGAAACTTGGTGCGCATGTGTATTACATCGTTTCCATGACGACCACAACAACAAAAAGCCTCAGGAACTTTTCTTTATAATAACTTCAGCTTGCCCGGTTTCACAGAGATAATACATAGTAGTATATAAAAATGAGTGGAGACAAGTAAATTAAAAATCCTGTGAATTTAGAAAAAGAGGCATATAGGGATGGTATAAAAAGAAAGGGAGAAAACATAGGGATGGGATACATGAAGCATGGTTAATGAGCAGATTTGAGCACGCTGACACCCCCAACCCCATCACACAATCCGTATATTGTTGCCTAGGTGAAGTATTAAACATTCACCATTACAATACTCAGAACTTATAATACAAAAAAGTCATGCTGCTGAGTAACCAACACCGTTAGAGAGTCCAAGTAGAGTTTAATTAAGGACTGCAGTATGTTACTAACAACAACGGGGGCACGGTGAAAGAATGCTTGCTTTTAGTAACCTTATATAACGCCACATTCCTTCTAAGAGTATATAGCACACCAGGCAACAATATAGGGATTGTTTGATGGGGTTGAGGGTGTCAGCATGCTCAAATCTGCTCATTAACCATGCTTCATCCTATCTTGTCTCCCTTTCTTTTTATACCATCACTTTATGCCTTTTTTTTAATTCACAGGATTTTTAATTTACTTGTAATTATTAGGCCACTCCAAGTTGCATTCCGGTTTCTGGTCAGGGCCTTTTCAAGTCAGGATGTGGGCCGGCAAGTTTTACTTTGTATTAGTCCACTTACGTTGTAATGTGACAGTGGGAAGACAGTCAAAACGAGTCGCCATGAGTACACGCAGCACAGCGTGCGCAGTTAATTTATTGCCAAAACTGTGATCTCTTGAAATAGGTGCAGGTGGCGGACTAGAAACCAGTATGCAATTTGGAGTGGCCTTACCAGGGCGAGTTGACAGACCTGCAGAGGAACTCTCAGCCTCCAGCGCCTTCTGTAAGTAAGTGTGCACATTTCCAATTGGCTGTTGATTTGCACGAGGAGCAACTTGCCAGAGTCTGCGCAGTGTTACGCGAGCCTCTTGGGGCGCTCAAATGGGCCTTCGCCCCCCAAGGTTGTAGCCTCCTTACCAAAGCCTGCCCATGAAACCACAACAATGTGCAATAACCTAATCAAAAGCACTAAAGTGCAAACCCTCAGTGAATTGTGCATGCGCGGTACCGCTAATTGATGGGCTGGGCTAATGAGTATGTGTTTACGTGTGGTCTCCCGCTAGTAGCTTGCGGAGAGTCTGACACGGGCGAGCTACATGAGGTGAATTGTATTTAAAAGCACTAAAATGCTACAAAAAAGGTGAGAAGCACTAAAGTGCAAACCTTCGGCGAACTGCGCATGCGCGGTACCACTAATTGATGGGCTGGGCTATTAGTATGCGTTTACTCGCCGGAGCAAGCGGGAGACCACGAGTAAACGCATACGATAGCCCAGTCCATCAATTTGTGGTATCGTGCATGCGCAGTTCGCCGAGCATTTGCACGTCAGTGCTTTTCATCTTTTGCGGTTGCTTATTGTACAAGGAGCATTTCTTCATGTAGAGTAAGCGACTTATATTCGGACACCATCAATCTTTGGATGCATTTTACGAAGAAAAGTACTTCTCCATCCTTTAGAAAGACATGGGTAGCTATCTCCTTAATGTAACGGCTTAGCATCACCTAGCAGGTTCCTGCTATATAGCACACTTCGATAGCCGCTTGCTCACACACACACAGTCTCAGTCCAAAACCAACATCATTACCTGTGACGTGACATCTTGTGATCACACACGTACAGTATGGTGACAGATGATTACACAGCCTTACAAACCCCCCTCCTTAAGCGTATGACATCGGACAATGAATGACATAAGGATGACTGTATAAGCAATGAATAAACCAAATGAGTGTCAAGTAACAATGTTCAGTTCTCCTTACGGCCTCGGGATCGAGTTGTCGATCCACAGTATCCAGTAGAGGGTAAGGTAGACTCTACATTCTGGGTCGTCTTCTGTCTTCTTGTTTTCTTAGCTTGTTTCCCGTGTCCAACCCATACCTCGTTAGACATCTCACTGTAGCAGGGTCTGACCCGATCAAGTGCTACAAACAGTGTTTCCCGCAGCATTATAACTACCGGGCCCTCCGCCCGGATTGAAACATCCCGAAAATGGGCTTGTACAATTATTGCGCATGCATAAAATGCAACTAGTATATGTTATTACACCTTTTGGAGTGGTGTTGCTGGTTTATCCGCCGGAGGGGGGAGGGCGGATAAACCGCAACACCACGACAAAAGGTGTAATAAAATGTTTATTACCGCTGATTGGTCGTTGCTGGGGAAACCGCGCACGAAAATGGCGCATCCACCCAAATAAGGCGATGCGCGTGAACCTGCGCATGCATAACGTGCCGTTCAAACACGATCGACGCTGACAGATATGGAGGGAGCAGATATCGAGGGAGCAGAGGCTTTCCGTTTGGAAGTCGGGGGTTGGGATTCTGAGACGTCGCTGCAAGACTCCGCGTCCGAGAGTAGCGCTCCTGGGGACGGGCCATCGGCATCGTCGTAGGCTCTCGCTGACAAGGAATAGGGCTACGTGCACTACTTCCGCAGCTACAGAGAGGTTTGAATCTTTAGATGATGCAAAGAGCGAGGCTCTCAGCAAGAAGTTTGTGCCTACGCCTTTCAGATGCCGACGGCCCGTCCCCAGGAGCGCTACTCTCGGACGCGGAGTCTTGCAGCGACGTCTCTGAATCCCAACCCTCGACTTCCAAACGGAAAGCCTCTGCCATTCGCTCCCTCGATCTGTCAGCGTCCACATAAAAACGTTGATACCCAACCCTAACCACAGTGGATATTCACACCATTCCTTAGTTATTTACCCTAACCACAGTGGATATTCTCACCTTCTCACCCTCTTGGGTGGGTAGCTGATTTATTGTGCTAAAATAAACATAGCAACGACCTAGCAACGGGTAATAAGCACTATTACACTCTGGGCAGCTTATAGAGTAGCACTTGAAAGGCTTTAGGCCAGTAGGGGATTTCCTAACAGGAAGTCCTTTGAATATAGTTTTTAAGCCAGAAAGCTGAGTTAATTAATAATTCATAAGCACCCTGTTTGAATATTACCGTGCGGGAAACACTGTAAACAGTGTTTCTCCATGCGGTTGGTCTACCAGTTGCACTTCGGCATTAGTTGGTGTGAGGGAAATGATTTGGTATGGAGTTTGCAGGCCTTCCCTTGTGTTGCACTCGGAAAGTGCACCATTGCACAATCAATTTTACTCCCAGCTTGGACGCAAAACTTTTGTGGTCATATTGTCGTTTCTGCTTGGTTTGGGCAGCTTTGATGTTGTTGCGGGCTAGGACCCAGGCATCAGACAAATGAACTATGAGCTCTCCTCCATAGTCCTGGGATAAGCAGATGGAGGGCGAGTAAGTGCTTCTGAAGTGGGAAGTACCGGTTCGCGACTGTACAGTAAATAGAAAGGCTAGGCACCTGTAGACTCTTGAACCGCTACCCTGTAGGCAAATACGAGGTAGGGTAGATGCACATCCCAATCACATCAGTGCTTGTCGACACCTTTGGGAAGCATGTTGATCAGTGCAGTGTTTCCCGCAGGGTAATATTCAAACAGGGTGTTATGAATTATGAATTACTAATTACCTCAGTTTTCTGGCTGAAAAACATTACTTGCTACTCAAGGTTCAAAGCACTTCCTGTTGGGAAATCCCCTACTGGCCTAAAGCCTTTCAAGTGCTACTCTATAAGGAGCGCTTCACAGCACACAGTGTAATTGCGCTAGTTGACTTGAGCGCCGGGTAGTTATAATGCTGCGGGAAACACTGCAGTGTGCTATTAAACTTCTCTACTAGTCCGTCGCATTGCGGATGATAACCTGAGGTATTGACCTTAGTCGTTCCCAACAGCTTACACACTTCTTGGACTAAAAGTGAGAGGAAATTAGACCCTCTGTCGGACAGTAGACGCTGCGGCACTCCGTGACGTGCAACTACATGCTCCACTAGTAGACGAGCATTGGTATCGGCTTTCTGGTCTTCCACGGCAAACACTTCTGGTAGATAGTCTTGGAATACCAGAGCACACTGGTTACCACAATGTGAGAGCGGCAGTCATCTCAAAGGGGCCACTGACTGGGATCGACTTGAGTGGTGGGCGTGTTTTGCTCCCAGTACCCTTCCTTGAGGCAAAAACTAAACAGTTCCGGCAAAAGTGACACACGTCTGCCCTCATACCTTTCCACCAGTATTGAAGGCTCAAAGTCTCACTTGTTGCTGTCGTAGTGTTGTCGGGACTGGAACCACTGGCTGTGACAGAATGAAACAGAAGGATTTGTGAAACGGCAATAGGGTTTCTGGACAGAGCATCTGGAACTTGGTTGCTTTTCCCTGAGCGATGACGAATGTCCAGTCGAGCTCCTGAATTGACATGGCCCATCGAACATGCTTGGAAGATGGATTCTTAGCAGTGAGCAGTGATGTGCAGGCTGCATGGTTTGTAAAACAATACAGCGATGACCCAGTATGTATGGACGGAAGAGCTTGACAGCACATACTTAACCAAGGGTTTCCAATTCGGTGATGGTGTACTTCTTTTCTGCAGGATTCAAGGAGCAGGATGCAAAAGCAATTGGATGAACTTTGCCATCGACTTGCTGTGCCAACTCAGCCTAGGCCTCGGGTACTGCTCAAATTGTGGGTAGGCTAGGACTGAGGCATTTACCAATGCTTCTTTCAGACGAGCAACACACCATCTGCTCGAGCAATTGATGGACGTCAATCGTTTCCGATTGGTTCCCACTTTCACTTCCGGATGTCCCTCTCTCCGTAAGCTCGGCTTCTTCCGACGAATCGCGTCGATCAGTCCTTTCAGGATCGGTTACAGCAAACACTCGCTTTTTACTTTACCAGACCTCAATAAACTTGGCTTGTGTGTGAGCAACACACTAGATAGTGAACCTCGGAGTTGCGCTGCCTCTCTGTTTGTCATACAGCTACCTCTGGATCCTGGCAGGGTCGCCAAGTAACGGCCTACCATCGCCTAGCAGGTTCTCGCTAGCCGCTTGCTCACACACACGTGGTCTCAGTCCAAAACAAACATCATCACCCATGACGTGATGTCTTATGATCATACACAGACAGTATGGTGAAAGATGATTACACAACCTTACATACCCCCTCCTTAAGAGTCTCAACATCATCACACGTGACGTATTGTGATTATGCATGGACAGTATGGTGACAGATGATTACACAACCTTACATTAACGAGGACAAGTTTATGACCCTGCTACTCCATTCATAGCTATATAGCACTGTTCGTCAGTTCAGTCTCCTTGGTCTGGGTCTCTGGATGTCTGGTGGTTGGTTGTATTCTGCATTCATCATAGTGTATTATGATTTTGCCTTATACGTATTATGTCCAGTGTGTATGGCAGAATGGGTATATTGCACTGTTATAGTTTGCACAGTTAGCCTCGCAGCTGCTGCATACCATAATGTTAGAAACAAAATATAGTGCCACTGCTGAATCTAAACAAAATTGCTCACATTCACTCGCCAAAAATGGAGCATATGAATGTGTGATTAAATTGTGCATGTCCAGAGGTACTGCTACTGCCACACACAGTCCAGCCTACATACCTGTTCTCTTGCTCTTTTTTGGCCTAGCTTTATCAGTAGGTAAAGATTCAAAATTGCTCTTCATATGACCTCTGGTGGCTACGTTGTGTACATTAACTGTCCAAATCAGGTCCAGGTAAGTTAGTGAATTGGCTTTTCACTTGCTTCTTGAATGTAGTACTCTTACGAAAAACCAAGTCAGTCACCCTGAATCTACTTTATGGACACATTGTTGTGCACTGGGGGAGCAAATAGTTACCGGAGAAACCTATTAATGTAACCCTAGCTGCACACATGCTGCCTTCAGTTCTTGCGAGAATCACCTCAATGTGCATTTTTATGTTCAATATTCTTCTCCTTAGTATCTCCTAGATCCATTTAAAACTCTGATTGTTTACACTATAGTGTATCCCGAATATCGAGCTCTTCACAGTAGACGCTGACCAACGGCATTTGATTAGTGGCTAACTTTACTTTGTGGACTATGGCGGAACTTTGCCTTTCTTCTTCGATTTGTCGATTTCTCCTTGTGACTGCCTTGTGTTACGTGGCAAGCTTTATCACATCTCGGTTCAAAAGAAAAGTAGCATGTCTCATACACTACCATAGCATCATAGCTATGTCTCTTTGAGTTGCACAAATTGCTAAAAAGGAATGTAGGGATGTGGAATAAGAGAGGGAACAAGAAGGCACAATGACTCCATCCCTACTAAAGCAGTTTATATTTTTGCATGCTCAACTAGCAAACGATAGATGCAGGAATGTGGTTATAAATTTGTCTTGGTATAGGCATATTCTTGTCATCTCTACATCTCATAGCAATGATTTTTTTCCACTTGTGCAAACCTAAGGCAGACCTTCCCAAAAGCTTTGGGAACGCTTTGTCACCAAGTGAAGCCGTAGTCATGAAAAGACACAATCAAATATGTATTGTGTGTCATAGCCGTGGTTGTCACGCATTTGTAAGAGTATAGTGATGAACTGCTTGTGTAACTGTAGTAACCGTAGGTATTTACTCCTTAGGGAAAAAAGATGGAAGAACACCGACGCAATTGCTTCTTTTCTGAAGAGTGCAATAAATTTCAATTGGATAGTCACGAACAAAATGACTTTGATGACTTTAATTTGGAGAACAGAGTAAATGCTCTGGAATCATTTTATACCGAAGATGGTGCCAATGCAGCAACAAATTATGTAGAAGATGGGGCAAATGCACCTGAGATATCGTATGCAGAAGATGGAGAAGGGGCACCCGAATCACCATACAAAGAAGATGGTGCATCTGCAGAAAATACTTTTTCTTCACAAGTGAAATGTGAAGCTAATACAGAAGATGGAGCATGTGCCCCTGAGAGCAGGTCTAGAGAAGCCTCTTTTGGAAAAGAAGACATTTCTGAACAGCCCAAATATGCTGGACTGGGAGAAGGGCATTCAAAAATTTTGACATCTGCTTGTGATGCATATAATAGTAGTATGGTCGAACCAATGGATAAAGCGCAAGAATATGGTAGCAAAACAGAACATGGCACAAGCAGCAAACAACAAAGGAATGTGGAATCATTAAATGGACCCGTTTTCGGAGAAAGTAAGCTGTTGCAACCATCATCAACATCAGCCGAATCGGACGATGGAATGTTTTCAACCAGTGCAATTTTATGTCCAGCTGGGTTATATTGCACTGACCTTGTTAATCACTCTCGTTCAACCAAGAATTTATCTTTTCCCTCTCCAATGACTGGAGGTACTGAGTCAATCTCAAGTAATAAGTTTTGTATTCCTGGTCCCGGGCGATGAGATGCATGTTCACACTGAAAAAGTCTCACTTTCCACTCCCCCCGACACAGATTATTGCACCTTCCCAGCATGTGGTTGTGGGGAGAATAATAAGTGCCATTGTCGGCAGCCTAAACACGATTTTAGTTCTGAGGAAGAAAAAGCTGCCTCAGAGAAATCTGGTCAACTGCAGCACCATCCACTGCATTCTGCAACAACCCAATCCAATTTTTATGATACCAGTTTCCTACTAGAAGCTATTGAGGAGAGTCAAATCTGTTCAGAATCCCAGATTTGTGTAGGGACATCCCAAGTTCTTGATGCCACTAGACTAGCTCACGATAAGAACGAAACCATTCAGGGTATCCCTCATCAGCCAACAACCCAGAATTCCCCTGCTGCAGAACCGTGTCAGAGCTTACATGCTTGCATTACTCATGAATCAATGGCACCTCAAACTTTTGAAGGTAGAGATGAAATGGTCCTTTCACACAACGTGGTACTCACTGACTTGGCAAGTTCTCCTACAGCTGAGGTTGTCGTGGGAACCTTTTCTACCCTGACTGCAAATGAAACAATTCATTCCACAATTCACTCCCTGCCAAATGTGAGTGCACTGAATCCCACTAATACCCTGAAGTTATGTTGTATCGATGCTTGTCAACCTTTTGTAACTGAAACGGAAGCTGTACCCTCTGAAATAGGTGACTGTGAAGTGCCGAAAAGCATCAGTATGTATTATCAGACAATAAGTAACATGTATGAGTTGGTCCTTCCATCAAAGTTTGCCCTTGGCCCTTTTGCATCCAATACTTGTGGAGCTCTCCTGACCGCACTTGAAACTCCCAGCATATTGCCACAAGACACCATTCAAATTCACTCTTTTTCCACCCCACTGCAAAATCACACGGGTGTGCCCAATACGCAGTGGTTGTGTTCTGTCAATACATATCAAAACTTCATAGCTGAAGCAGAAGATGTGCCGTCAGAATCATGTGAATATGAAACACCTGGAACCGCTAATATGCTCAACATTGCCTCTGAGTGTACCATTCCAGGGCAGCATTTCAACATGTCACCTGTTACAGAGTTCTGTTATATTCGCAATTTTCATGCCAACGCATCAGCGATATAATGTGCATCAATTTCATTACAAATGTTATCGCTAACCTCCCCAAAATCTTCTCCAAAGTTATATATTTATATAGCTAGTATTTACATATACTATTTATAATAAGGCTGTTTTGTGAATGTAAACCATTATTATTATTATTAAAATAACAGGGCAATAATCCGCACATAAAGCCTAACCAGCTTCTTGAGAGCGGGTGTAAACTACCACCCCTGCAGTAGCTATGCAGCAGTTACGTAATGGTACACGCATGCGCACCACGAAAACGCATCTAGGCGCGTGGTGAACTATCTGCCGCCCTACCAACAAACCACCACCGGCCATCCATAACATCATGAGTGTCGTCGAAGTGGCGGTTGAAGGCAAGATCTCTTCCGTGGTGGAGAAGCCACCGCGCAACTCCAAACCTGTTTGCTTGGCAACTTTGACAACGTCGACGGAACAATGGTTGGAAAATTTGTCCGCATTGGTTACAATTGAGTTGCCGAAAAAAACAGAGCTTCAGATCACCACGAGGGGCATCGGATTCGAGCTTGCTGTATTGTACGATGAGTCGGCTCTGATATTACGAAAGTTTCGAATGACAGCGGACAGCGTCTTGACAAACTGGACGGGTATATTACTATTTCGTTGGTTGAATGGAAGAGATGGGTCCTGTTGCTATTGCATCTGTTGGGTCTGCCTATGAAATGGAGGTTGCTTCTAATAAACTCAGTAGCCGCTTTGAAGAGGTGAAAGGTAAAGTTTTAAACGTGATCAAAGATAGTGGGAAATTGCAGATGGAGGAGGTATTTGGAGCCCTCAAAATTTTGGTAACAATCATGAAAAGCACAGCAATGTTCTATGCATTGTGTATGTGAAAAGCAGTCTACAGGAAACATACTGGCACGTGCTCAGAATAATTTTGTACGGTCCCGAGAAACACCAAAAATATGCCGAAGTAGTGCTCTTAAGAGACGAGTAATAATAATGTACACATGGTGGGTAGCTATGGGAATTGCTTGTGACAAGTACATGGAGAAAAATACAAGTACCTTTGTGAATATCCCACGATTGAGGAGTCGAGCAGCACATCAAATTAGCACAACTGAGTAAATTGAACAACAATATGAGTGACTGGATGATCATCCTGCCAACTGTGCACTGTAATAGTATACAACAGTTTTGTGTTCCTCTTTACTACTGTTTTATACCTAGCTACCAGAGGCAGTGGTGCACAGTTCACACCGACATCTGGTCTGAACCCCCGACTTCTTCAGTCCTTCAACCAGTTAGAGGGCTTCAATCTCTCGGAGCGTTCTGGCATCGCAGGCGGTGAATTTAGGCTCAAAATGGGGTTTAGGGAGTATAGACGCACTCGGAGAAATCACGAGGACTTAAGCGAGATCTCGGTGTAGAAGGAGAGCAATTGTCTTGGTGTTTTCAATTTCTTCTTCTGTCTCTTTCGGCTGTTCCACCCGACAGACAAGTGTAGTTTTGCCGCTTGCTCGAAACACGAGCCCTAGCCCTCGCCCTAGCCCTAGCCCTTCGTTCCCCTTGCGATTATGTTGATAGAGAAGGTTCAGTACTTTCGAACCACCCAGAACTCATGTGAATGTCCAATACACACTTTGTTTTCTCCGCACTTAAGTAGGGACCTAGGGCTAGGCCTAGCTCTAGTTCAACATCGAACCTCCTCCAACTAGCTAGATCTGGGGATTTGTCTTTTTCTCTCTGGCAATAACCTAATTACACCATTACATCTACAACATACCCATGAAAATCAGAGTTACTGTAACAATAAAATGCAGTGTTGTCATAAGCTGTTAAAAATAGTGGAAACAAGTGGAAAAATTATTTCTTCAAAATGAAGGGGGATAGGGATGGCTTGAAGCACCAAAAAGGAAGAAACAAGGGGTCATTACACAGCAAAGATGCACAAAGAGAGCCATCTCTATATCCCCCTTCATTTTGAAGAAATGATTTTTCCACTTGTATAATTATACCTTGGGTCATCTGCTCTTTATACTGGGAATGGGAATATTATTATGATGGAGATGATACGATAGGCTACGTACATATCTCAAGTACCACAAACAAGTATAACAAGCGTTTTGTAGGTATGTACGTAGCTAGCGCTGCTGTGCCTGAAAGGACGCCACAGACAGAAGGA